CGGAGGCGCCGTGGACCACCCTGGGCTGCTCATGACCCCTCCCGCCACATTGTGACGGCTGAAGTCAGGTTTTGCCTTCGGCAGCCCTCCACTTGAGACACACGTTGTCCACACTTCTGCTTTTGTCCCGTCCAGGCTCAAGGGCGTCCCTGGTCTGTGGGTGGCGTGAGGCCACCTCTCCTCCCCCATTCCTTACACACCCATCCCTCAGCAGATCCGCCAGCAGAAGAGGCAGGGAAGGGGGCCAGGGCTACCTTCCGGCAGACCTGTTCTGTTTTGAGCCGCCCCGCGCAGGCAGAACCTTCCTAGAGCAGTCTCCATGGAGGAAAGCGTCTCACGGAATTTTGTTTGTTTACCACTGAGTTAGAAATGTTAACAGGGAGCTTCTGGTAGAGACCCACTCCTCAGGCTCCAGTCAAATAACGAGTGCTAGCAAAGAACTCCCCACAGCTCGCCCCACTTGGTCACTGGCCCCACAAAAGCTAAAGGGAGAAACACTTGCTAGACAGGTGGAGGAGGCTAGGTCCTGGGTTAAGCATACTGAGACTACTCCAGGACATGGTGTCCATTCTAAATGACACCAGTTGGTAGAACTTGCATGTGGACAGACTGTGATGAGTCAGTTACTCCGTCTTGAATTGGCCTGCAGCCCAAAGTTGGTGTTGAATCAATGTTTCAGAACAAATAAATGCGTTCAGCACCCCCGCACCTTTCCCTAAGGAATCCCGATGTAGAAAAGACAGACAGAAAATTTCAGATAGAACGAATCACAAGATTCTTGCCCCAGTTCAAGAATTCACTGCCACTTTCCTTGAAAGCTCACTGTGAATGCTTGCACAACGCTTCAGCTCAGACTGGAGGAAACAGCTCCCTGCAGTTTGCATCAGCCCACCTACCGCACAACCCACACCACAACCCACACCACACGGGCAACCCATGCATGGCCCTGTCCCCACCTGCCACCCTGTCCCCACCCACCCTTTGTTACCTGCTGTCTTTCTCTGGCGTATTCCTCCCTCTTGTTCCATGAAGGTTTTGGGCATGTCATTTGGGTAGATTCAGTATTTCCTAAACAGACTGTTTATTTGTACGCAAGGAGTTTAGTCATCACCTTTATTAGGACACAGTACTAATTTGCTCATTATAATCGAGCACCAAAAAATCACACACCGGGGCACCCAATCCGACCTCCCCTGCCCCGCCCGCCCACACAACAGGCTCCAAACTGCAGCGGCTGCAGAACCTGCAAGGTGAACAAGCGAAGAGGTTCTTGCTCAAACCCAGCCGCTGCTGGTAGTTCCAAGGGCTGAGATCACCTGGAGGGATTGTGCCGATTCCCTGATGCTGCCGTTCTTTTTTTGAAGAAACAGGTCTCGGCGTGTGCCTGCCGTTCGGTGAACAGGTGGAGGAGGAGAGAGGCAGAGGAACAAACCGTGCTAGGAAACAAATGCTCACTTGGGCTTCGTTTCTCAAGCACCAGTACTTCCTACAAACTGAAGAAATTCTGCCTTTTCCCACAGACTTGCAAACAGGTTTTAAGAAGCTGACCTACCCAACTTCCCACCAACCTCTTGACCAGGTTGGAAAAGAAAATCCACAGTGAATTCCTAACATGTGGTGGACTGGAAGGATTTCCTACAGTGCACACAGATTACTCTCACTCCAAGTTGCTACCAAATGCAGTCGCGGTTAAGAGGAACAATGGCACGGAAGAGCACCCCCAACAGAGAACCTTGCTACAGACAGGCCAAAGTGGACAGACACGGCAAGGGCTAGGGCAGAGGAAAAGGAGCAGGGGTTGGTGACTACCGTACAGAGGGGACGGAAGTATCACTGGGTCTCTGGGGCAGCCTCATCCTAGCTGTGAAAATGGAAGGAGGCTCTTCCACAAAAGGGGACGATGAGGACGGCTGCCTCACTGGGCTGTCGAGGACTATGTGATCTGATTTATTTAAAATGCTAGGAATAGAGCCAGGCACATAAAACCTTATATGGTAATAGTAACAATGGCAACAATCCCCTAAAATTAACAGAAAAGCAAAGGCTGGTGCAGACAGCATGGAGAGCCTCTTCAGCAGACACATATTTTCCTGGTGTGAGGTAACTGTTTGGAAGTTGGCTCTTTCCCGGGTATCTCGTTTTTTATTGGCCCTCCCCCAGGGAGCAGCCTCTGGCCAAGGCTGGTCTCTTAAGGATATGCATATCCCCGATAATGGTCGTGGGGTGCAGGAGACCGAAGCAATGTGGTCAGCACCTGTAATCAATGTAACTGTAAACATGGGATGGAAATTTGGCTTGCTTTTAAAACTGCTGTATTTCTCCGAAGTGTGGTTTCTTTCTGCACCGACCCGCCACCATCGGTGCCTCCTGTAAATTCTAATAAACCAATGTCTCTCCCTGCTGGGCCGCTAGGTGACTTCTTTGGAATACATAAAGAACCTTACACACAAGCCCTCTCAGCTTTGGGGTTGCCACGTTACACCTGGGAATCTACTTTTCCTCCTAAAGCTGAAGGATACCAAGGAAAGCACTGAAGTCTATAAAACGGATGTATTTTTACCTGGTGAAATAACACAAGGCAAAATGTTAATTAATAAGTATCAAGCCTATGAAATCCAATTCTCAGAGTATGTCTCATTATTACAACTTTCACTTAGATCCAGAAAACCAAGTGGCCTAAAAAAGAGACATGAAAACAACGGAAAGCTGAAGATGTCTAGAGAAAATAGTCTCCATCCCCCTCAGAGTGAATGGTCACACCATCCACTCTTGGCCAAGCACGAGCCTTGTTCTCAGGCTACCGCTCCATTATTAAAATCACTGGGAGGCCTTTCTCCAGTCCAGGAAAATCACCACCACCACATCCTACATTCTCTCTAAAAGCTGCACACGGACAATCTTGAGGAACAGCTGCTTTGGGATTCCTAACTCCAGGAACTGCCGGACCCCTTCAGCATTCAGCATCCCCTCCTCTGGTCACTCCACCCAGCCCCTGCACTCCCACGTCTGACCTCAATGGATCTCACCTGCCTCCTAGACATGCCTGCACACAATTTGGTGTCTTCTCTGGGCTCTCATTTTTATTGGTACAGGCAGTTAAAGCTAATCAAACAAAAGGCAAAAAAAAAAAAAAAATCAGCTTACATACATTTTACAAAGTTAGTTCCCTTGAGGTTTCATATGTTCCCACTTCCTTGTGGATCTCGGGTTTCACATACAAGACAGGACAAGCAGAGATAACTTGGGCATGTGCCCTCTGTGGAGAAAAGTGACTTTAGAAATCTTTGGGGCTTTGTTAGCCTGGGATTCTAAACATGGGAGGATGCAAAAAAACTCAGAGACTCGTCCTCAGGCTCTGAATTCATACGAATCTTTTCGTGGTGTGTGTCTGTTTAAACAACAGCAGTGTTCAGTATCCTTAGAGACTAAGGCCAAATGTTCTTCATGCGTTCCCCCCATCTCAAGAATCTGGGGCCTTGTTTCCTACCTAACGTGTGTGACCTCAAGACTTAAAATCAAGGGCAAAAGGTGATATCACCAGAGTGTGGGTGAGTTTTAGTTCTTATCACCAGCAGCAACCTTTAAATCAAGTGAAGAACGACTCGCCCAGGGCTGCTGACAGGTGGGCCAGAAGCAGGGCCAGCAGCCACAAGACTGCCAAGGTAGGACAGGCACAGGGACTGGAAAGGGGGTATAGGAACACTGGGAACCAGAAGTAAGAGGAGAGAGAAAAAGAGGGAAGTCAAGGGCACAAGGATGAAGAAGAATGGAAGTGATGAAGAGATCAAAGGGCCGGGCACGGCAGCTCAAGCCTGTAAGCACTTTGCGAGGCCGGGGCGAGAGGGCTGCCTGAGCCCAGGGGTTCGCGACTAACCTTGGCAACTTGGTGAGACCTCGTCTCTACATTAAAAAAAAAATCAGCCAAGCATGGTAGCACGTGCCTGTAGTTCTGGCTACTTGGAAGGCTGAGGCAGAAGGATCTCCTGAGCCCAGCAGGTTGATGATAGAGTGGCTGTAAGCAAGCCACTGCACTCCAGTCTGGGTGACAGAGTGATACTCTGACTCAAACGAACAAACAAACAAAAGAAATCAAAGAAAGCAGGGGCATGGACACAGGCTGAGAGTGATAGGGTTGGACCTGTAAATCTTTCGTGTGTGTGTGTGTGTGTGTGTGTGTGTGTGCGCGCGCGCGCTCTTTGTTTTGGGTTGCTGAGCGGGCATGAAGTGTCTGCAGCTGCATGAGTGGACCCCCAGGGAGAGTTTAGCCGGCACCCAGGGAGATGGGCCAGCATGACAGAGGTGGCACAATCACAAGGCAACACCACTTGGTTGGAGCAGGGCTGCTAGGTGTCTTGGACTGTTTCCCTAATATTCATGCTTTTCAGAACTTTCCTAAGGCAGTCCCAATCTAAAGACTGACATTAGTTTCATGACCTTACCCTCTCAGTGCTTTGGACCTGACCTCCTGACCATGATAACTAAGTTACTATATTTATAGTCCCATGGTAGATAACTCACTGTAGATGGTCAGGCTTCAAAGGACCCCCACATCTGACCACCTACACTCAGCATAGGCCTCCTATGAGAGCTGAAAGGTTACAGGGTCCCTAGAGTCGGTCCACGTTTGAGGCTTCGTGGTGTGGGGAGAAGAGACCTCAAATGCTCGCTGCCACTACTCAGTGGAAAAGAGCATTAGAACATTTTCCCAGCAAAACCAAACACAGCACAACACACCAAAAAACCCCTCTCTGATTTGGGAATGTAATCATATAATTCCTACTTGGCAAAAACATATGGTTGGCTACAGAACAAAAGGAACTATCTACATCCAAGCTATTGCCTCTTAATCCTTTAATTAGACTAAGTCCTCAGAAGGAAGCACCATTCATTGTTCCTGAGGGAAACCATGAGCAAACCCAGGCAGAGACCGACAGACACACGTGCACACCTACAGGCTGCGTGGATTCCTAGGAATACGACTAAGCACTCATGGTCAAGGGCTCAGAGCTTACAAAAATTTATTTGTTGTGAGAGCCATGATTCAGAACACTAGAAAAAGTCCTCCTGGGAACGCAAGTTGGAGAAGATGTGGTGAGAGGGCAAGACTCAGCAATCCGCGGCAGTCCTGCCACCAGATGCACCCGCACTCCCTGCGGCTAACTCCGCTCTGACTTCAGGCTGGAGCTGTCTACCTGCAGGCCTGACCGTGCGTGGTCAGAAGGCTCTGGCTGCAGACAGCTCATCTGGAGCCTTTCTTCTTTTTCTTCTTCTTTGCCACCGGCATTTCTTCCAGCATGGTGTCCACGGCCACCTCTACCGGCCGTCGCAGCTTTTTCTTTCCTTTCCTTTTCTTGGACTTCAGGATAAAACCCTGGCCATTGGGGGACGTCGCCACACCCTCAGCACACGCCTCAGAACTCTCGTCCCCGCAGCGGTCCTGGGGCGCTGCCCCTCTCGGGCTCTCTTCTCCCTCAAGCTGCTCCCTTCCAGGCTGCTCGGCCTTGGGCTCCACGTGTTTGCCTGTTGCCTCCCGGTTCCTCTTCCTTCCCCTTCTGCACCCCACTCGGCTCTCAGAAGCACCAGGCCCTGGCGCCGGGACCTGGGACTTGTTCCTCAGCTCTGCCATCCGCTTGGCAAAATATTCCTGGATGGTGAAAGCACTGGTTGTGGTCGTGGTTTCGTTCCCATCCGGAGGAGAGGGGCTGGGATTACCCTGAGGTGGGGAAAAGAGTGACAAGATGGTCAAGCATCAGCAGTTGACCCCTCACGCACCCGGGGCTCTGCACGGGGCACCGACGCCCAGCACTCGGGGACAAGGCTGAGAGCCAGCTCGCCGGCTTCCGTCTCCCTTCCGACGGCTTGCCCTGCAGGGCCAAGGGCCAGGAGGCCACGCTCTCGCAGGGCCTGGCAGGGTGGCAGGTTGGCAGACTAAGCTAACTTAAGGAACAAGCTAGCAGGTCGCCTAGATGGAGTTCTGAGTAAACGCCTCCCTAGAAACAATGTTATGGGGATTCAGCTCCCAGAGTCTCCATAAAACATAGGACACTAGCCGGGCTCGGTGGCTCAGCCTGTGATCCCGCGCCTTTGGGAGGCTGAGGTGAGTG